CCAGTCATTGCCCTTCAGGCTAGGCAACGATGAGGGGGTGGTGCCCCAGGACACGACGTCGTCCCACTCCCACCCTGCTTCCCCGCTTCGAGCTGGACCGACCCCAGTGCGTGGAAAAGCCTCAACCTTTAACAGGCTAGGTGACACGTGCCGTCGGCCTGCTTCGGAGAGGATGGCGGGGCGGATTGGTCAGCGTGAGCCTGGCTCACCCAGGGAAAGCTTGAGGTTGGTATCCCGGACAGCGGATCGGCCCTGCCTGGACAAAGGCGAGGGGAAACTGCATGAGGGTGATGCCCGTCACCAAATCAACACGGCTCACGCAGCCCGCTTGCAAACACAGGGAACCACCATGGCAGCCAAAGACCCCAGGGACGAGGTGATCGCCAAACTCGAGCGAAGGCTCGTCCAGATGGAGGCCAAACAGCTGGCCGCCACGCCCACTGGAAACTCATCCAGGGATCCCGGTTTCAACGCCCTTCTGAACAAGGTCACCATCCTTGGCCGATTTCATCACCGAGTGCACAGCCAGGGAAACGGCTGCTGCCACGCCCGGGCCAGAGCCAGACGAAGCATGGACTCTTTTTACTGACGGTTCATCGGCTGCCAAAGCTTGTGGTGGCGTCGTCGTCCTCATTTCCCCTGAAGGATTCAGAGCCTATTATGCCATCCGCTTCAACTTCAGGGTATCCAACAACGAAGCCGAGTATGAGGCCCTCCTCAGCGGCCTCAGACTCGCCGCCGGCCTCAAAGCACGGCACATCAGAATCAGGTGTGACTCCAAGCTAGTGGTGGGCCAGATCGAGGGCTTATACGAGGCTAAAGAAGAGAGGATGAGACAATACAAACAGGCGTCCGAGGAGTTGCTCAAGGCATTTGAAACCCAAGGGCGGAGAATGCTGAGGCCGACATCCTCTCCAAGCTCAGCACAGACACTCCCGAGCACATCTCCAAGATAGCCAAGATCGAGGAGCTGAGCATGTCCAGCATCCACGCCAGCCCGGTCATGTGCATCCAACAGCGGCCGAAGGACTGGATTACCGACATCATGACCTTCATCACCTCGGGAGAACTCCCCCAGGACGAGGAGAGAGCCAAGCTAGCCAAACTAAGGGCCCCAAGCTACACCATCGAGGATGGGAAACTTTATAAAAGATCTTACAACGGCACTCTTCTCCGATGCCTGCACCCGGATGAGGCCGAGGTGGCCATGGAAGAAGTCCACTGCGACGTCCGCTCCTCTCATCAGGGCCCTTTCAGCATGTCCCGGCGTCTCGTCGTCCAGGGCTATTTCTGTCCCGGAGTAACCTGAACCCTTCTTCGACCGACGCCTTCTCGTCGGGGGGGTCCCCTTCACAGCAGAAACCGGCTTCGGGCAGGGAATTGCAGCTGACGTAGATGCTCCGTCCACGGCGCGGGAGACCACTACGTCCTCACCATCAGACGACGAGGCGACCTCTTCATCTTCACCTTTGCTACCCTCCTGCTCCCCTGACTTGAAGGAGCCCAGGTCCTCTATCTCCTCTCAACACTCCTCTACTACCTGGTAATCAAGGGATTTAACGGAGGGCTCATCGTCATAAGGGTAGTATTCGTCATCCAAAGGTTTCATCATAACAACTAGCTAAGGCCTTAAGGGGATTAACTTGGATCTAAGGGTGATTCTCCACTAACACTAGATCAAGGCCCTAGGAAAGCAAAGTATGCAATAAATCGGAAGAAAGTGTGATGAACTGAGCTTTGAAGATATGAAGTTTTGAGGAACACTCGAACAGTCTTTATCTCTCTAGAAAATTTGGAAGCACTTCGTTATCTCAAGAACGCAATGGGGAGCCTCTTCGGAGGGAGGGGGGTATTTATAAACCTCCCCCCAACGGTCACTACACGTGGCATCCATCCATTGGTCACATGAACGGCCACCACCCCACACAGGCCCATTGGGCTGGCACTGGTTCAAAGGACGGGTCAGGCCCACTTCCATCAGTACCAGCCCATCAAAAGGGTAGGTCACACCACAAGGTGTGCCCATATCGGCCCCAACAAGAATACCAATAGCATGGCCCTTTCAACGTCCACAACAGCAAAGCAAAAAGCAACCCCACAGCCATCGGCCTTGTATAAAACCCTGATGATAATTTCTTGAAAGAGACCTGCGTCCAAGGGTCCTCCCACAGGGTTACCTTGGTCAGGAAATTGCCAAGGAGTTGGATTCAGGGGAATACAAGAATCTCGCTTCGGCCTAGGGGAATCCTTTACTCCTTCACCCCTCGCTTACTCTTCGGCCTGAAGCAGTGGGGGACTGGGGGACTACACCGGCCCTTGGAAATCAAGAGGGAAAAATAAAGAAATCCAAAAATATACTAAGTCCACAACTACAACATCAGATCATATATGCACCACAATGTCCATAACCTTGTGGTGCACCATCGGCCGCAACAAAGTCAGCAAACAAAGAATTCCCTCCAAAGATGCAACACCTAAGATCACAGGGCACTCAACGGCTTTAAGACCGCATATTCCACTCTCGGCCAGGAATTAAAACAGGAACTCAACGTCCTCAGATCATCATCATCCGTGAGACCAGGATACGCACCACTCCTTCCGGATCAGTGCCACTATCATCCTCAAGAACATGGGCACCAAGCTACGGATACCACCACTCCTCGGCCTAAAGCACAGAATGAGAGCCACAACGGCCAAATAAAGCAAACAACACCCTCACCGGCTACCCGGAGGCAGAAGGACACTCATCATCCTCAAACAGGAGATGACCACAATGGCCTCCTCGGCCATGAGTACGAAATTCAACCATCAACGGTCAGGAGTAGGGAAACACCGTCTTCATCGGCCACTCACGCAAGAGAACGCTCATCGTCTCCACCAAGCAAAGGCACTCGTCGTCCCCAACAGGAAATAGCATCATCCATGGATAAGGCCCTCTTCGTCCGCAGCAAAGGCCACACAGCGGCCAGAACGTAGAGCGCCCGTAACAACGAGAAATAAAGTACCAAAGCAAAGGGTGCGCATAACGGCCAAGACTCCTTAGCGGCCCCACAATGGCCAGAAAACGTCAACGCGAGGGAATCTACTCTCCTTCACTTCGTCTACATCTCAGCTCAGAGAGTGGGGGACTCCTGATGGAGTATATGGGCCTAGACCCCAGGGCCCACATACTCAGGAGAACAGAAGGTACCACGATCACCTGGTGGGACCCTCGTCGGCCAGATGACCTCCATCGGCCAGAAAGAAGTCTACTTGGAATGTGATCCAGAAGCCAGGAGAACCGAGTGACCTCGTCGGCCATGCCCTCATCGGCCATAGATAGCCTCCAGAATAGGATTTTATACTTAATCATTTCTACACACTTTGCATCTGGCCCATTAGTGGCCCTATTATAAATGGGCTTCCCAAGCCCAAGACTTGGGAGTCCAGCCCTAATTTTCTCTATAAATACTCCCCTTGTGAGTAGTTATAGGGGTTGACAAATCATTTATTGCAAAGAGTTATCGCACTTCTCTCTCTAGCTCTCCCTTCTCTCTAGACTTATAGTCTATGAGGCACCATAATTGTTAATTAATAGATTGTAAGTATATACATCCAATTCAGTTTTATTTTCTTCCATTTCTTTCACCACTTTAGGAACCTTCTCTGGCAAGCACGTCTTTAAATAAAACCTCATGATATTTTTATAGTTTAAACTAGATGTAACTTTCTCTTCATTCATCTTCACAAAAAGATCAGAAGCTTTTTTTGAATGTTTCTGCAGATAGTAACAGCTTAAAAGTGCCCCATTTGTCCTAACAACTTTTTCATATTCCAGCAACCTTTTGAAGTGCTCTTCCCTAGAATCCAAATTTTTGGCTTTAGAAAGAGGCTCTATCTGGACCGCTCGATCAACATTGTTAGCTGGGAATTTCTTACTATCCATCCATTCAGGCAACTGCATTATAAAACTAAATGTAAATGGAAACACAATCATATTAGCATAAAGACCAAGTGTGGTAAGTGATTGCAATTTATAATGTTTAAGGGTGTACCAACATCGGTGCCATGAAACACTCAAATAAACGAACTGAAATATGTTTGATAGCTATGAGAACTATGGTCATGAATTGTAACAAACATAAAACAATTGGTTTGCATGTTCCTTTACATTGATATTGCACAACTTGTTGCAGTGATTTGCATGTTATTGTTTGATGTGAACCTTACTCCTACTATTGTGATTATTAGTCTTTTTGACTTCTTTATTTTTCTCAAATATAATCTAGCCTATAAATACTTTATTGATAAGAATTCCTTATCAATAAGGTAACGAAGTATGTATTCAAAATTCAAATATTTTATTCATATTACTCATATATCGACTCAACCTAAGTGGAAGTATTAATATTCCCTACCTTGCACCAAAACGCCCAACGCGCGTTACGTAATTAGTCAAACATGGGAAATTGCCCAAAATAGGAGCAAATGATACTTGGAATTCCAAAATAGGACTAGTATGTTTTTCTTTCCAATATAGGAGTTATTACTGTCATGTATGAAAAATACTGTCATGACTGAAAAATATTGTCATTAATTATAATAAATATTATCATGTTAAATGCATTGTACTGCAACTATTTGTCAATCACGGTTACAACATGACAGTAAATACTGTCATGTTAGTACCATTTCAGGAATAAAAAAAGTAGTCCTATTTTGAAATTTGAAAATTGTTTTGCTCCCATTTTGGGAAATCTCTCGTCAAAAATATACTCCCTCCATTCTTAATTCTATTAGTAAAAACATATTAAAAATCAGATTTTGAATATTTGTAATGAGATAAATTGAACAATATTTTTTTAAAACAATAATTTTCAAAAAATAATTGCGTAAAATGTAGTCAAAATAGAACATGTGAATAATGTAAAATTCAACATGTTGCGATTAAAACGGAACTAAGATACTATATGTGAATCACTCAATACTTGGAGGACCCGGAGCTTGTCAATTTGTCATTCCTTATCCGTCCCAACTCCAAGTATCGACCGATCGATCCTCTTTCCTCTCTGGTTGATGGAAAAATTGAATGGAAGAGAGCTTTCCCAAAGTAGCGGCTTTCTTTAAATACCTTCACGGTACCGTGGGAAAATCCGAGGTCACAAAACCTCGGTACCTATAGAAAAGGAATCACAAAACCACTGCTTATAGAATCGCTTCGAATTTACTGTAATTTCTCAAGTGAAATTGTTGTTATTGAATCAGCATTATTTCCGTAGCTCTTGAGCTTCCCAATTCGGTTTAAGGTTCTTGCGAAGAACGACTATGACGATCGGGCTGAAACAGGTGAGATTAAAAGTGTGTACTTGGCTCCGCAAGAAGATTGTCGACCCTCTTCTCCAAATCCTCAGTAGGTATTTTCTCCCCCTTTTGGATATCTGAAGATTCGTACTAAGATTAGTAAGGTTGGTTAGATCTGCACATTTCAATGAATGAATGATTATCTTTGTTAAGGGGAGCCGAACCGAAGCAATTAGCATTCTCTGGTGCACTTGGCATTACGTTAGGAATCTTCCCCATTTGCGGTATGATCTACAATCTCTAAAAAAGATATACGACCTGGATTTAGTTTCCTAAATCTCTTCTTTTTGGATTTAAACCATTGTTCTGTATTCAGTTAAAAATGTACCACATTTAGTGAATTTGTAAAATTATTTTTTCAGAAAAATAAAGTCCTTAGACTCTTCTTTCATTTTTTTTTATAAATTTCAAATCCCTCTTGATTATTATTTCAGTTTTTTTCCTTTAGACTTTGGATTCCAGGAAATTAGGTTGCTTCATGGTAGTTGAGAGTTGGGTTTGGATACAGTCCAGACTGATCCAGATCCTGAAACACCCCCCATAAACCAGGACCTGCCGTCCCTTATTAATTTGAACCAGACATGGTCCCGTGTTTGTTTTGAACGGTCTTCTTTCCATGACCGACTTGATGGCTGTTGATCCCAGACTGGTCCCAAGACTTGCAGTTGCAGTTCCTGGATGAGGCTGTGTCCTCCCTAAACCTAGATAAACGATTCAAGGAACGTGCTTCAATTTTTTGAAAGACATGGACCACATTGAAGAGACATGGACCAAAATTGCAATTTTTCCACATATTTCATTAACATTGTGTGTTTTTAATTCAATCAATGCTTGATTTTAGTTTTTGTGTTCCTTTTTTTCTCAGAACTCAAAAGAAAAAAAGCAATTGAATAGACCATATGACTATCGTCATTGGTGTTTGAGTGAACAACAAAGAGTATGGTAAAGAATTCTTGAGCATCAATCATATTTTGTTCGCAGGTGTTACTATATTTCTGTGTGGATTGGCTATTGCATTGCTTGGATCTTTATGTCATGCTCCAACAGTAATGCTTGCTAACTTTATTGCCACCCCAATCGAATTGAGGTAAAAAGCATAAAAACAAGAGAACCACTATGCCTTCTCTACAGTAATTTATTTTCTTGCCTTTTCATTCCCATGACTGTCGTCTTTAGCCTTTGTCAGTGACTCACAAAATTTTAAGTACCAATGCCTTTAAACAAGTTGTTCTAAACGTGGATATTATGCTTAACAAGTGTCTGCATTGGTGATGAAGAGTATATGAATTTAAAAGAAAATACTTATGATGCTGACAGTTAGATAGTAGTATCCTTTTGGTTCATTGCTGAATCCTGTAGGGTCCATTCGGAACACGGAAAAAGCTAAGGAACTAAAATAGGAAGGAAAGTATAAAAGAAAGTAATCAAGGATTATTAGTTAAATATATCCTCAACTATCATCAAATTCACAAATCTATCCCATACATTTACTTTTATTTAAAAAAGACTCAAACTTCAATTTTTCTCACAATTACACTTTCAATAGATGAATGAGTAAAACTTAAGAACAAAATCATATTTATATTTCATATCTTTCAATTCTTTCTAGTTTTAAGTTTACAATCTTGTACTCCCTCCGCCCCCCTAATATTGGTACGGAAGGGAGTGGTGTGGTTTTTAAGAAAAGTAGAATTATGTGGTTGGTAATGAGTTGATAAAGTGGAAATAAAGTAAGAATGAATTAGAACCACACAAATGTTACCAAATATGGTATGAGACAATAATAAAGGGACATCCAAAAATGGAAAAATGGGATAATTATAGGGGGATGGAGGGAGTATTATTTATATCTTATTGGCATTGATAAAATTTGTAATTTTGAAAAAAAAAAACAAAGAAGAAAGTCATAATTGTTGAAAAAGATAAAGTTTGAGTCTTTTTTTGATAAAAGTGAAAGAATAGGATAGATTTGTGAATCTGACGATAGTTTGGGATAAAATAAGCTAATAATCCTAAATAAATCTATTTTAAATCTTTTTTAAACAACAATGGAGCCAAAGACTCACTATTTTTTGGTTTAAGAATATAATGGAATAAAGCAAAATGGCTCACTAAACTGTCTGAGCTTCTTTGTTATGAAGCATTAGTCCGTCCATGCAATTTTCGACACAATTTTCATCATAGAGGTAAGATTGCGTACATCCAACCCTTCTTACCTCACTGGGGTAATGTTGTTGTTGCAGATCTTTTTTAAAGGCATTTTATTTTTTATTTCCACCATATACAGACTTAGAGTACTGGAATTTAAAAAAAATCACATTTTATTTTTGTAAAGATTTTCTTCTGTCTTGATATGATTTTCAGCTACTAATATGAATTTGTGTTCCTTTTTACAAGATAATATTAGTGGTAACTCATTCTTTATCTAATAGTTAGAATTAGTTTGCTAGCGCTTATATTCCATTAGCTTATATGCATCGTACCTAACTGATGAGTGTAACACACAATTATATTTTCCTAATAGTTTTTGACTAGTTGACTTGTTATCATTTCTTCTGTGCTAATCTCTGTCAATGCATGCATCATTTGGGTTAAACTATGCAGTTTGATAATCCCATTCCTGCGATTTGGAGAATCAATTACTGGTGGTTCTCATTTTTCTTTGACATCTGATGCACTAAAGAAGGTTTTCACTGGTGAAGCTTCACATGAACTCTTGCTAAGTATTTTACGTGCGGTACGTACATGCAATATACATACATGAGTTCTCTTTTTCTCTTACCCCCCCCCCCCCCCCCCCCCCCCCAATGGCTACATTTCTATTCCTTAGCTGGACCTTTAATTTGCATGCTTTGTTTTGTAACTGGGAGCATTGTTCTATCTACTTCTTGAAACATAGTTTGTGCAATTAAGTTTTAATAATTCAAAGCATACCCATCGAAGGAAAAAGTAATTCTACTATACGTTTACGGTTGCTTATGGCATTTAAGGGTGGAGCATCACTTTTAATATTGTTTACACCTTGTTTGCATTTGACTAAACAAGCGTTAGTTACACCCACCACTCCTTGGTGTGGTCAAATTCCAAATGACCTTCAAGTTTCCCGAAATTAGAATAAACCCCTTGACCAGTTAGATTTTCCTCAGGCGATGCTGAAAGATCATCATCATTACTGTGTGCACTAAACTGTCTTTCTTTGTTAAAGATTTTCCATCATATTTTTGGCTTGAGAATATGATGGAATAAAGCAAAATGACTCACTAAACTGTTTGAAGCTTAAACAATAAATTTGAAATTTGGATATTAAATTAAGCTCCCATTTTGATGGAAAAATCATAATTCATTTTCATTTTACAGCAGACAAAGTTGTGTTAAATTGGGCAAATCATTAATCGATGTGTTTGATGATTGTTGTGCAGCTGCTGGGATGGATTGTGGCTGCACCATTCATTCTGGCAGGCCTATATATACTCTTCTTGCCATGCTTTGCAATCTTGGTCAGTAAGTTCAGTGGCACAGTTCTTCCATCTTCCCCCAAGATCCCATTAATTCAACCCCATGCTGAACTGAAGGTCAAGGTGAGAGATGTCTGATCAACAAGGGTTAGGGAAAGTTTGTAAATAGAACTCTGGAGAGTCCTATTTATGCATGTATATATGTGCCAATATTTGATGCATATTTTGCTAATAATTTGGTACGGAGAACTACTTCTCTGTATCCATAAAAATAGTCATGTTTGTCCAATGTATCACTTTTGAGTTTAAAACCAAACTTAGGGATGTTAATAATGCTCGTATCAATGGATCAATCCACTCTGTACATGTGAATGAAAACCAATAAAATACGGAAGCTAATAATAGGATAACGGATTGATGAGATGATGGGTAGGACCAGGTATGGATTAACCACATCCAACCCATCATCAGATCCATCAACTCTAGTACTTCTAACGTGTTAGGTAGGCGGCAGGGTTTGGTACGGTTTGAGATTAAGACTATGCCGACTTCAAATCCGGTTAGTAATAACGGTTCGGGACAGTATGTGACAAGCCTTTGTCATAATCTTGCCCCATTTAAATTGGGACTGAGATGATTTGAGACGGTTCAAGATGTCCCAAACTAACAAAACGTAATTTGGGTGTGAAATAAGAAAATCAAAATTTGTGTGGTTAAATCAATTAGTTTAAAAAGAAAGTGACAAAAATTTTGAGACAAACAACAAAGAAAAATTGGCGAAGTTCATTCGAACGGTGGGAGTATATGATGTCTTTAGTTTATTTCTAATGACAATAAATATCAAATATGCTTGAAAATGTCATTAGTCGTTAGTCGAAAATTTGGACATGGATGAAACAAGACTGTTTTGGGATTGATTTACACATGATTATGCGTGTTTTATTATTTTATTTATGTTATATAGGATTTGATTCCGGTGACATTGGAGACCTAGAGAAGAATTGAAAACATATGATGGTCGTTGATGTCAACAATTCAATGGCCATGAGCCCATGACGCTCTCTAAGCTGTTCACCTGTTCAAACAATCCACGACAAATTTCAATTGTGTAGCTTACCGAGTTACCGCTGCAAAACATGTGTATAATTGGGGTTGCAAAATCCCTGCCATTACAAATCATAATCAAGTTAAACTAATTATAACAGCTACTAATAATGGTTGCACTCCTAGAGCTCATTTGTTAATATTGAAATTGGGTGAATTGGTTGAAAAATTTATGAAGTTCTAGCTGAAGTGACTCAATTGGCTGATTCTGATGATTTATGAAAAATTAAATATAAAATATTTATTAATAAAATAAAGAATACATGTTTGAAAAAGTTGATCGATAAGCTAAATAATACGGAGTATATGTTTACACATGTTCTAAAATATTGTATATTGCTCTAAAATATAGTCCCCTCATCTAGGGATGGACTGGGCTGGGTCGGGCTCCGGGCCGGGCCCAAGCGGGCTTTTTTTAAAAACATGGTCCCGGAACCGGCCCGGGTTGATACCGGGTCCGGGTCGGGTCGGGCTACCTGGCCGGGTAGCGGGCCGGTCCGGGTTGGGCTCGGGCTAATTAATTTTTTTAATTAAATATTAAGTTAACATTAGTTGGACATAAAAAAGTTAAAATATATTTATTTAAAATATGTAGTACAATTGAAAATTGAGAAAAAAATAAAACATGAAATACAATTTTTAATAAATAAGAATCAACCGGAATCTCCGCCATCTTTGGTTGTTTCCTCCATAAAGTGGTGGGTAGGTTCGATGCTTAATTCTTGAGTTCTACGTTGGGCTTTCAACCAATCGTGGAAGCAAACAAGTGTCTCAAGAGATTAACCGGAGTTGATTTACTTTTTTTCATAAGATTGCCAAATGCAGTTTTCAAAATTGATTTTCCTTTAGATGAAGAAGATGTTCGTGACGGGGAGGGGGTGCGCTAATATATTGTGCATGAAACTCATTAAATAATTGATAAAGTAAATTACTAACCTCTTGGAATTCTTGTTTAGGGTCTATGGCTTTGTCGTCGTACATAGGCAATGGACAAAAAAAGAAGCATAATAGTAATCTAAGCAATTCCCTAAATAATCAAGTCTAAAACGAGGATCAAGAATAAATGCAATACCATATATATGCGGAATATGTGAATAATATTTTAAAAACTTCTCTTTCATGTAAGAACAAAAATAACTAACGTAATTGACATCGGAAAATTCACAAAAAGCACCGGCAAGATTAATAGGTTCAACATAAAATTGGTTTGCGGTAAGTTTATAAACATGACTAAAAGTTTGAGTTGCATTATTAAAAAACACCAAAACATTCACAATTTTTCATAAGTGTTGATGTCGGCCGGGTTTATAATATAGTTATCATATTCTTTTAAAAAAGCAGAAAATGGTTTTTAAATGAGTTTTTTACCTAAGTAGGACTAATTGTACTTTAATGTGCACAAATAAGACCTCTTCCGTGAGTCAAGTTTCATAGGATTAAAAAGCTGATGATCTTCCAATTTTAGCCTCGATATTAAGTAATTGACTTTTCAGCCTAAGGAAGTTTTCGAAAAAACCGGCCAGAATCCTGCGAGGAGAGAGGGCGAAAACATAGGGAAACGCGGCGCGGCAATTATTATGGACTGTTTTTCCGGCGCAAGGCTCGGGAATCTAGTTTCAAAGGCAACCACCCCATTTACTCAACCCGGTTCTGCCATCCGGAAAGTGCAACAGGGATTCCGAGAACTGAGCGTAAAAAGGTGGAAGACGAAAACAAGGGAAGCAGTTGAAGCGCGACGATGGCCGGTGACGAGGTTCCGAAACAGAGGCGAGGACAGCAGACAGAGCGGGAGAAAGCAGATCTGGTATGTTGTACTTATGAACATCAATTTATGTGTTTACGGCCGATATTGTGTTGCAATTGTATGTGTTAGTAAATAATGGAAAAGAATGGCATATGTGCATGACTTTGGAACGAAAATCTGGAAGATTTTGTTCCCAGTGTTCAATACAAATTGTGAAATTTGTTATGATGATAGAATGCATGCAATAGAATGTCATATTTACATATAAGTGGTATGAATATTTTAAATGACATGAATGGCAGAAACTATGTTGTTCAAATAGATGACAATTCGTTGATGAATGCAATTTGAAAAATTGATAGGATGTATAGACTTTTAAAAGCACTGTAAGAGGTGGTTGTAGTTGATTTTGCCAAAATTTAGGCAAATGAACTAGAGGAAAATGGCAGAATCTGAATAGGTTTAAAACGTTGATGGCAGATATGCCGTAAAATGAAAGTTGTACAATGAAACATGAAATTTGTACAATGAACATATGTAGAACGGAATAAATGTCAGGTAGTTGTGTTTTGGAAGAAATGACAAAAGTAGTGGCTTAAAGCGAAAGTTGAACAATGAAAACATGGAAGAAATAGTAGTATGGAGAAAAAATTGGAAGTCAGTTTTTTGGAAGAAATGACAATTTAGTGCTAAACTATTGAAATATAAGTGGCAGAAAGTGAATGTGAACTTTTTAAAATTTGAAAGCTGCAAAGCAATGCCAATGAATATCTGGCATGTATCTTGGACATTTGAACATGATAGTTGTATTATTGATTACACTACTGTAAAAGAAATGTGTGAAATGAATGGTTTTGTGTTTATTTAGGTGATACAGAGAAAATTTGGAAAGAAACAACTGCAAAATGTAGAAAGCATGAGAATTAATTGCTATTGCAGTTTGAGTGAGGTAGTGAAGAGGATAAAACAACAACTAAAAGCTGAAGAATTGGTTGAATTCAGGAGAAGTGTATTTGGTTGGGTATTGGATGTGGAAGAGATGCGCACAATTAGTGGGCAACTTCAACTTGGATTTCTGTGCAACTACGTAAAAAAGGTGAATGGGAGGAAAGAGCTAAATGGCATTCATTTTCATATTGAAAACAGCCTAGTTACTTTCAGAAAAAATGATATGTGCATGGCTTTGGGTCTTAAATTTGGAGGAGTTAAACCACATGTAGAAGAGAATTTTAGAGGGGCGTTGTGGAAAAAGTATTTTGGAAACACATCCGGGGTGAGAAGAAGTGATTGTCAAAATGCTTTAATGAATTACAATAGTGGAGACCCTGACAATGACCAAAACGATGGTGTGAAGCTTGCATTGCTCCATGTGCTGTCACATGGTTTGTTTGGGAACCACACAGCTAGAGAATTACCAGCAATGTATGTGAATTTGGTTGAAAACTTGGATGATTTCAATGAATATCCATGGGGGGATGATGTCTGGGCTGAGTTGGTGGATAACATGAGGACCAATGCCAAGAGTTTAAAGAAATGTAAAGGGACACACGTCACACTGACAGGATGTTTAATTGCCATACAAGTTTGGGCATTTGAAACCTTCACAGGACTGGCCAAGGCAGATATATGCAGTGTGATTGAAGGGCGAGAGACTCGAATACCAAGGGCTGTGAAGTGGGAATTTGTAAAAAAGCCATCACTGGAAGTTTTGAGCAAAATCATTTTCAAGAATGAAAAGGTAATAAATAGCATTTAGTTGTTAATTACTATGTAGGAATCTGAAAAGATGGTGTTTGCATTTTAAATATAAATTGTTAATTTTATTTATTTTGCAGTTTGAGTGGAAAAGGATGGAGCCTACAAATGTGGAAGGTGAACATTTTCCAATTTTACTGTCCAAGCAAATGAGAAGTTCTGTGAGGAGGAGTAATCCTGGAATTGCTGGGGGATATAGGGTTGATGGGGTGAAGGTATTTCAGAAAATAGAGAAGAGGGTAAAGACCAAAAGTGCAGCCACGGTTTTGGAAAAGGCCAAAAACAAAAAGTTGGAAGAAAAAATGAAAATTGAGGATGAAGGGGAGGAGGACGAAGAGGAGGATGATAGTGGTGGTAAGGTGGGTTTTGGAACTGCCAGAAAGACAGATTTGACACTGAGAAATGTTAGGAAACTTAGCAAGGAGAATGCCAAGATTATGGCAGAATTAAAAAAAGTTAGGAAAACCCAGAAGAGGCAGGAGTTGTTGCTCAAGCAGTTGTTGGAGGCCATGAACAGGAAGGATGAGGCGGAGAGTGAAGGGGTTAGCAAGGAAAGCAAAGAAAAAAAACCACAGAAGAAGGTGATGAAGAAGCTCAAGGAGATCAAGATAATGAAGGAGAGCAAAACGCAGGTGACGGAGATGATGGTGCAGTGATCAGTAGCATGCCAAATTATAACATATTTGGTCCACAAACACAAGAAAAATTCCAGGAAGCAGAAGTAGAAGATGGAAGTGAAGAAAATGTGTTAGAGAGGACTAAAGAAGTAGAAAAGGGCAAATGTGGGGAGAAGGAAAAAGTTGGGGGGAGCAACAAACAAAATCAGGAAGAAGGCATGAGAGGTGTGGAAGAAAGTGTTGGCAGAGGGGTGAACAATGAGGAGGAAAATTGGGAAGATTTGAACACCCAATTTGTGAATGAGTTAATCACAAGCGTGGATGAAGTGGAGAAACTTGTATTAGGCGAAAAAACTTCAGAGGAGCATAGTCGAAAGGGAGAGGTTCATAACAACTCACTTTGACTTGTATTTTGATATATATATATCTGTTAATATTAATTTATAATGGCAGAAAGTTGCAAGTGTGCGTGTCCAGGAGATAGCGCAAGGAAGTGGAAGTACAAGTGTTCATGCAGACGTGAACATAGAAAAGAGAGTAAGTGGTGTTGTATATAATTATGAATATAAATGCATAAAAGTGGAATATTAGTTCAACTATATTGTTTTTTTGTTGATGTGCAGGTTGAGATCACATGTGGTGCCGATACAAGACCTAAACGAAATGCAAGATCTCCAGACAGATATACACCAGCAGAGAATGTGGTGGCTGCAAAGAGGAGACGGAAAGAAAGAGCGAGAAAAAGTGAGGAGGACCACTTTTTACCGGCTAGAAAGTATGGACCATTTGCAGAAAACCCAACTGAATCTCCACCGGAAGAAGAAGTACGGAAGTTAGAAACTTATCTTCAAGTTGGACTATTGAAGAGGGCAACAAAGGAAGCAGGTGGAAGAAGATACCGCAAAGATGAGGACAGCATGAGAGGCGTACCATTTATTCTGGATATGGCAAAGATAGAATAAAAAACATGGTTGTACAAGTTGTTTGTCAATCCAGAGTGGCTGGACGAGATGGTAATGTTTCTGACTGATCACTTTTAGAGATATAAAAGCTTAAGTAAAATGTGGATCATAAATCATGACAATGTATGTTTTTATATAAAAAAATTCAGAAATATTCTGTGATTAATTCTTTGATTTTGCATTTGTTCTTAGCACATTTATGCAGGGATGTACTACTTGAATGTCAAGCAAGTACAGTACATGGTGCAGCACCCTTACAGCGCTAGTGGGCCGTACTTTCTACAAATGCTGAGACGTCAAAATGAGAAGATAGAAAAAGGTGAGACGACGATTACAGAAGCAGCGAACATTGCAGTGATTGAAGACGAAATTCAAGGCAGTGCTTCACCATTCTCTAGGAGTTGGGCAGAATCTGAGTTCGTATACCTCCCGCTTAATAATAGCAACCACTGGGTGTTACTTGTTTTGGAAGTTAAAAAAAGAAAGATACGAGTTTACAACTCCAAAACCAGACGGGCTGATAGTTTAAGAGACATTAGACCGTTTGTAGAGAGCATACAGTGGTTGCTGCCAAAAGTCATGGACGTGCATGGTGTTTATGATGAAATTGGGTATGAGCGTATGGGTAACGAAGTGTTAGAGTTGGAGCCTGCCGAGGATTGCCCACAACAAGAAGACTAGTAAAATATGTCGTGTATAGTATTTTTCAGAAACATAATATTAATATGTAATACAAAATGATTTATTTCGTATTGGTGCGTCATGATTGTAGGGGAAACTGTGGCATGTACGTATTGAAGATTGCCGAATTTTTGATGATGGGGCTAGATATAAAAGAGATCAAGTCAAAGGACATGGCCATGTATAGGCAAAAGATGGCCACAGAGTTAGTGTTGTATAACAACAAGAGGATGGAGGAACGCAAAAAACAGAAGCAGGGACCGAGGAGTTGCATTTGAAACTTGAATGAAATGTTGTTTTTTGAATATTTACGTTTAATGTTTGATGTTTGACTTACAATGTTGACTGAGCGTTTTGCATAATGGTGTAGTATGTCCTTGACTCCTTTGAGTAATGTTTTGGATTTAAATTTTATGTGTAGTTGTTTGCTATTAAATCAAAGTGGAAAAGTTACTATAACAGGCGTATGCAAACGTAGTATTTCTGCCATTAAATGTAATTTAAAATGCCTTTTTATGGCAATTTTGCACTGTTTACGCTTATATTTTTAAATGGCAGAATGTTAGACTACAATGTGGAATGGCTCATTGATATGTTGAGATCAACATTGTACAATGTATAATTTATTATTGGCATTAAAGAAATTGTGAACATTACATTTGTTACACATATGAATTGTGTTTATTTGACGTGTAATGCCAAAAGTATGGCATATATGGATGAAGCATGATAACTGTCAACATTGATTTGTAGAAATTTAATTAAAAAAAGGTACAATTTGTGGGTTGTATGGTACTAATAAAGATGGCAAAATGACATGAACATTGGTGGAATTAAAAATATGATATCCATCAACAATAGTGCAAAACACGTAATCGTATAAAGGAAATTAAAACATCATGTAATCCAAATACATGAATTCAGGAAACTACTGACTCTAAATTGTGCATAAATTTATGTAATCAACATGGACATTTCAAAACAATGACACCATAATTAAAAATTCTTAAAGAAGAAAACTTAAAAAATACATCAGGCATTTGATATGGGCAGTGGATTGCGGCAGGTTTTTTTGTTGTGACCAATAGCATGACAGCGGGAACATTTTTGACGCTTCGTACGACGATGTTCACCAATTGATGGGATTCTTGACTTTTTGGGACGACCGGGTGGTCTTTTTTGACACGAAGGCGGCTTGCAACGAACATTCAAAACATCAGGAGGAACTGACCAAGACTCCACATCGCAAATAGGGTGCATAACGCCACTCCAGGTGGACAACCAGTAATCTCGAGTGTAATATTTGGATATATAATCATAGCATGACATCGCTGGCCTGGTACCAATAGCAGCAACAACATGCACACAAACAAAATGAGACAATTGAAAGACCCCGCAACTGCATGTCTTAGAATTCAGATCAACTACAAATGACCGACAATGTCTATCAACCACCTCAAATTCTGTATAAGATGCTGGCTTCACCTGATGTTGTTTTTAAAAAAGATAAAAAATAATAAAGTTAAATGATGGATATTCACAGAAATGATTTGGGGGATAAGGTCTGGGAAGCATGGAAGAGGGGTTTCGATCGTAACCAAATGCCATATTTTTGGAATTGCTGCCAGGTATAAAATACAATAACTGAACAAATAATTAAAATCAAATGCATATTTCTTGCGAATAAATGTATACGAATTTAGCACACATTGAGTTACCTGCATCCTGCAAGCTTGTCCTTGAAGGGCCACCAAATGCTTCTCACGTGTGGGAGCAAAAAATGTACGTGTTTTCTCAGCATTTTCCTTCCTTTCTGAAAACCATTGCTGCATTCTTTCCCTCAAGAAATCCACGAGTTTTGATATAGAATACTCTCTTGCAGACACATTGACGTTGTTCATAGATTCAGCACAATTGGAAGTCATGATATCGTATCTCCTAGGACCAGACATGCACTTGGCCCACTTTTGAAAACCAATCTTCTCAAGCCAAGGTCGTATACGAATATCCTCAGAATCCAACAAGGACATATATTCCTCAAATTCCTTGAATGTCGATGCCATGTAGGCAGCCTTGAATTTCCAACCCAAATTCTTACCCGCGCCCCTAAACTTTGGAACCATGTTACGCCGAAGGTGCTCCACACAATATCCATGAAGAGCATGAGGGAAAATATCCATAACAGCACTTAGAATACCTTCATGTCTGTCAGATACAATAAACATATCAGGTCGGAAGGTTATACTGTCACGCACTTGGCTCAAAAACCAATTCCACGAAGCTTTGGATTCGGAATCACATATTCCAAAAGCTAAAGGTACAATATGACCGTTAGCGTCTTGGCCACAAGCTGTTAGTAGTGTCCCCTTATAGTATGCCTTCATAAATGAGCCATCAACAATTAAAACAGGTCTGCAAAAATCCCATGCCTGCCGCCAAGGTGAAAGACACATAAAAAAGTAACGAAACTCATCCTCATCACCTATTATTAAAGAAATTGCAGAATTCGGATTTCTCTTTTCTAGCATATAAGCCATGGAAGGTAGTTTCTGATAAGACTCAAAATCAGATCCAAATTGCCTTTGCATGACTAGCTTTTGAGCTTTCCATGCTTTCTTATATGACATGGAAATGCCATGGGCCACACTCATGTCTTCCCGGATTAGATTTGGTGCATACGGTTTCCTTGATGCATCAAAAAATTTATGGGAGATTAGCTCAGCAACGGTGCGATATGTTGCTTGTCTCTGTTTGCCTTGTCTAAAGTCAATGGAGCAGGTATGTGTGGAGTCGAACCTGCACATGTAAAAATATATGTCATGATGGAAGAAATGCCACATATGTGGAATATTAATACACAAGAATGCAGGTAAAAAAATATAACATGGGAACATACCTTCTAATCTGAAACATTTGAACACCACGTAACTTGACACCCCTCACAGCCCATTTACAATTGTCATCACAACATACAACATGCAATACCCCTTTCTTTGATGTAAGTGTTCGGTATTGAAAGCCATTATCAATCGCATACAACTTCAAATGGTGACTGAGGTCAAACTTAGAATTATATATGGCATACTTCATGATCTGTGTTGGATGATAGTGGGTGATAACTTCAACATTATGATGGAAGGAAAATGACTCAGTAGAATGTAAATGAGTAGGAGGTGACTGACAAGGGCTGACAGAAGACAATGGACTATGACATACATCATCATTGATTGTAATGGGACTAGGAGATTTTTGTGTGAGATTGGATTCATGTTGAACAATAGTGTAAGAGTTGGAATCAGATTTTTGTCCACTAATGTTATCATGTTCCTCAGAAGAAACATGAGATGGTGAAGCATAAATAGGTACAGTATTTTCCGTAGCAGGCACCGGGCAAGGAGTATAACCATGAATTGAGAATTCCACACACAATGGGTACTTGCTGAAATCAGTCTGAAGAACCTTAAGGTTGAGGAAAAAACGGAAACTGGCTTCATCATTGATATACACAGGTGGAGGGCAACCATCAACCATGTAAGATAACTTCAACTCACTTGTTGCATTGTAAGAATCACTTAATATGGAAGAAAGTTGTTCTATAAAGTCTTTGTATGTAGATGAGTAAAGAACTTGAATAGCAAAGGTGAGGTTACTGTTGAAGTTATAGTCATTGGTCCAACTTCCACCCAACTTCAACATAATCATAACAATGGAATCCATATGGATAACTAGATAAATAAATATAAATTGTTCAAATAAAATGAAAAACAATATGACAACTATGAATACACATTATGCCAAGATTAAGTCATTAAATTCAAACTGAAAACACCAAACACAGAATCCCAGCCAAAACTCAAATGATGACCATGAGTACACATTATGCCAAAATTATGTCATTAAATTGGAAATGAAAACACCAAATACAAAATCCCACACGCAAGTCAAATGATGACTACGAGTACACATTATGCCAAGATTATGTCATTAAAATTCCAACTGAAAACATCAAACACAGAATCCCAGGCGCAAGTCAAACGATGACCATGAGTACAACCATGAAGGATAAGCGCATATATGTATACTGAATGACATATTTTCCAGATTTCAACACAGACATGGAACATGATTTTAGGTTTCGGAATGTATAACAATGACAAATAAAAACAAATACATTAAAATATCCTTCAATTGTCGCTACCTTCTTCTACAACATCCGATAATACAGAAGATGAATAATGAAGAAACTGATAATATTAGCAGTTAGATAATTACCAGAACAATTGGAACACTTCACATCAACATATGCGTTTGGTCGTAGCTTATGATAGACAGAGCAAAGATGAGATATGGCATAAGCGATTGGTTGATACAGAAAGACACGGTGAAAACGGAAGGAGATAATACAGGGGAGCGTAAAACAAGGGGAAAGCATCGTAACTGAAAGTCTGAAAATCAGGAAGCGAACGAAATGGGGAAAAAACGGTTACGCGGATGGGGTATGTTACGCAGATGGTGTATGTTACGCGAAGGGCAAATCTGTACGGGTAAAAAACGTTAGTTTTAGTATAGGATTAATAAAGTCCTACTTAGGGAAATAAACATACTTAGTCCTAATTAAGAATTTTAAAAGTTTTTTAGTCCTACATGGGACAATTTCTTTTTTTAAATCTAATAAGCACCTTAATTAAGTTATAACTATTATTCCAACGAATAGACATGTTGAAGGTAAATCCCGTAGATCCGAAAGCCCAACACGAACTTTGGATATATCAGGAATGGTACAGAATCAAAGTGTATAACCAAAATATAAAATATGAACTCACTAATACTCGAAAGCTCACTTGTATTAATTAACCAGTCTGATTACAAGGAAATTCCCGATCGGCAGGTCGGAAACAATGCTTTAATACAAGAAATAAGGGCAATAATGCTATTCTAGAGCCTGAGTATTGAAATGTTAACCCTTACAATGATTTTAAACCTTCTATTTATACTAATGGAGAGCATGGGCTGCCCTATGCTGATTGGCTGTTGTTCCACCGACTTGGTCACCCATGTTTCCACTTGGTGATGTCACAATCTGGCATTAATTGCACCTGACCACTTGCCGGTTGTCCGTTGCGCGAACGGGATGTTGGATCATGCTGAAGACGCTGCCAAATTGGCCCAAGTATGATATATAGCCCGAACTCCGTTCGGTATGTCTTCTTACTGGGCCAACCCTTATTTGGGCCGAATCTCGTTCGGCGTGAATTCTTCACTGGATCTACTCATCATAGAGTGATGGGCCCGTTGCTTGGGCCGGGTATCTTGGGCCTTCTTGATCCGGGTATTGGGCCTCTGGATCAATATCCCAACACAAGTCCCCCACTTCCGATGTCTCGAACGAAAGTGAGTGCATTAGGAAGTATGAATACCAATGTTGCAATTCGCCGAATGGCGATCGGGGTACAAAAGTAGTTAGTTCCCCATGCCGTGATTTGACGGCTGTCGTTTCATTCCCCCATATTCATCATGGTAACCGTCGTTTAATCTTTTCATTAGACACACATTTAGCTTAAATGCTCCTAGTGACGTGTTGCCCCTGATTGGTCCTTGACACGGCGGTTTCAAGGTTATAAATTAGCCTTTAACTTCTCAAATCCGGGTTTCGATTCTGCAATTCTCTTCGCCTTGTCGTTTTTCTGAAATTTCTCCCAGCCCTCGTCGCTCAGGTACTCTCCCTCCCTTGCTTTCTCGCCTCAATTCTGACTCGGTCGAGATGAATTCCCAACAATGTTCTGATTCAGAAATGGCTTCTCAAGGGGAGGACCGTGATGTGGAGATTATCACCGTCCCTTTTGATGAAGGTTCTAAGGAAACGACGGCGGAGGTTAGGGCGGAGACAGGCGACTCCTCTAGTAGTTCTTCTTCCTCCAGTGAAGATTCCGACGATACCAAATCCGAGGATGAATTAGCTTCCATGGAGGCCGGACGTCCCAACGATTTCCCTCGCCATAGCCTTGACCTAAAACTGATTAGGGAGAGGCGGCAAAAACTGACCTCCCACAATAGGGCCGAAATTCCGGCCCTTATCCCTGACCCAGTGAATTTTCGTCTGCAAGCTGGGCTTCACCCAATGCGTCATAGGCCCGGAATGACTGTAGTTCATTTTGACTCAATTAGGGCCGGCCTTAGGTTTCCGTCACATTCTTTTTTCATTTCATTTTTCAATTTCTATGAAGTTGTACCGGCCCAAATTATGCCGAACTCCTATCGCGCAATGGCGGGTTTTATTTGCCGTTGTAAAGATGCCGGTGCCCGACCAACCTTAGAACTCTTCCATCAATTTTTCAAGGTAGCCCCTCAACAAACCCACGACTATCTGGCCACTAGTGCCCGAACGGGACATATTCTGTTCAAGGGCAATCCAACTTCAATCAAAGGGTGGAAAGACCGGTTTTTCTTCGTGTCTGTCCCGGACGGCCTAATTCCCCGCAAATGGAATGCCTTCCCCCGCAAGACTCCTGATCCAGTCCTTACTGAATAAATTTACAAGGACGTGCTTGCTGTGGAGAAAGATAAATGCATGGACATCATGAGTTATCTGACCCCCGATCGGCTCGTTGAAGCTGGGATAGGTACTGCCCGTTCTCTTGGGTTTACTTGTTTTGAGAAATCAAGTGCCATGGTCCGGGCGGTCCTTCCCGTGCGAGAAACGTTCTTTTTTCTTTTTTCTAGTTTCTCACACGCTAAGGCCGCTCGATACTAACATTTTCCTTTGTCATTTTTCAGCACCAAATCCAGATTTACCCATGGATAATAACAGAGTTATGGCAGCTGGTGGGGTTGGTAAACGGAAAAAGGCCAGGAAGAACCCCCAACCTACTCCCTCTACTGTTACTGCCCAGGATGCTGGGTCTTCTCAACCGGTTCCAGAGCCACAGCCGATACAGCAGGTCCATCAGGACCAATTCGATGCCATGCTGGTCGATGATCGGTTTGGCTCTGATCAACTGCAGCAATTTCCCGAGCACTTCCAAGCTGCTCAAGAAACCGGCCAGGGTGCGGGTGAAATACCCACCGTCCAGTTATCTGGCCAGGTTGACCGGATTTCCCTGACGGATCCGGTTCATGATGTTGTAGAAAGAGGTGGCTGTTCAGCAA